GTTACCCATTAGCGACAGTCGGGGGCCTTCCCTCATAAGTTTATTCAAAAAGAAAAAGGTTAGAATTATGCCGAATCACATTTGTTGATGAAGGTTCAGTCTCGACCGGGAGTGACAAATCTTAGCAGATATTCAACTGAATGTTCCGCGATTAGATCTGTGCCCGGTCGGAAAATCGGTTGCGGTGTGTGACAAGAGTTTTCCGATCGGTGGCGACGGAGCCCCTGAAAAGTTTTTTTTAAAGTTAAATTAAATTGAGACTAATTTGAATGCTCATTGTAACAATTGATGTAGCCATATGTAATTTCATTCTCTTTTATTTTTCCTTGTCCGTTAGTCTGCAAGCTCAGCGGAGATGTTATGACGAGAAGTCTGTTTGGCAATGATAGCGAAAAATACTTCGTATATTTAGGATAAGTAGTCTGCTCGATGTTGTTTAAAATCATATTGGACAGGATACCGGCCTAAGGGGGAAAAACTTCATAATCCAACCGGCTGCTTGTATGATTATCTTGTTGTTATTATTAGGCACATAATCAAAAATAAAACCATTGTCGGGCAAAAAGGATACCAGACATGTTTGATTGCTTGTATAGTAGTCGTAATATTACCTGCGGCACACTCAAAGATACCCAATCGACAATTTTCCTCGTTAAAAACCGGTCAATCATGTTTACTCGTTGTGACGTACATATCAGTGGATTTGTTAAATTTTTGATAAATGACGGCGATATTTTAGTATAATCAGATGATTGTTCTACCGGAAACCCGAAGTATAACATTTGTAAGTCATTACCATCGCACACAAACCATGTATGAATTCTGGCTGCTTTTGACTTTAAACGAAAATAGAACATGGGTATTTTCCACAATATTAAATTGAGATTAAAATTTAATAATAACGCAGTGTTTTTAGCATATGGGGGTAGAATGGTCACTTTTCTATTAGCAGCAAGCGATCCACGATTCGTTAGAATTCTTGTTGTTGTCAAAATGATATTTGAATTATCAGTGGATAGAAACTGCTCATGTCACAGCTTCGAGATTCTCATATGTAGCTTAAGGCGCTTGAAACTCAATCTATGGTTTCACCGAAATTTTGTAAGAGAGGTTAGTTATCACACGTTTATGATGTGATACTAGCAGAAATAACTGGAAAGATAGGTTATCGACCATTCTCAGTGTACCATCTTATGCACGAAGGAAGCCGTGAATAATATAATTGCAAAAGTAAGTATAATTATAGTCTTTACAAAGAGAATTAACGACTACTGTCCGAATTGATGAAAACTAAAAAAAAACCAAAAAATAACTTACTGTAGAAGAACTAAAAACATTATAAATAGAAAAACAGACACTGGTCCTACTAATAGAAGCATAAATCACATAGGTTTTCTATCTGTTACAGATTCTACAACATTTCTTCTGCAAGGCCAGACTCCTGTGTCATCATTTCCAAAGATACGCATCCAGATCTGAACACAGCCAGTAATTAGTAAAGCCGAAAAGACTTAATCCTTTGGAAATGGATTTCTTTTCGTGTAAATTGTGGTTTTAGACTGAACTTTGTAGGGTGAGAAAATTATTGCAATAGGAAACACATCAGAACGAGTCGAAAACTTCAGGATATGGTTGATTTTGTTCGCTAAATGTGATTTGAAGATTGGAAAAATAGAATACCGGTTTATATTAATGGGTTTTCCAGAAATCCTTGTGAAAAATCTTAGCGTTTTGTAAAAGCTCTTTCTAGATCTTCTATAGGTATGATATAGAAGAGTCTAAATAAAAAGAAGTTCTGAACTAGTTTTGATGTTTTTTAAGTGAATAATGAACTTTTTAATATTAGGTGAAAACAGCCCGAAAACCCAAATTTCCGTAAAAGTCGCTCCGAAACAATGCCCGAGCCGTGGGAAATCAACGTCCCGCTTCACTCCTGTTTTGAAGAGGAGATCCCGAGCTATCAGTTCATCCAAAAAAAGTCAATCCTATTGAAAAAGTTTTACATACAACGTGGTTTTTCTTGTTGATCTACCGGTTTGCTGAGATGATCAGAGTATTTTGAATGTTAGACTACCCAGTTACATTTTCTTCTGAATATTTTATATAGCATTTGTTTTAGGCCGTGAAATTCTCCGTCGAACGGTATGTAATAGTTGAGGCTTGCTCAAGCAAAAGAGATGAAATAATAATGAAAATACCCTAAGAAAAGTTCATCTAATGAGAGAATAGTTTTTTATGCGAAAATTGTTCCCAGAGGCCCTGAAAAGGATTTTTTAAGATTTAAAAATGTGTCTGGTGTAATCGCGGACAAAACCTATATCAGATCTGTGAATATAAGATTTATATGTGAGGTGGCCGATTTTGGCTCTTATCATGCCCCGTCCTTTACACAAAGAGACTTTTATTCTCTACAAGAGAAATGAAACTCAATAATAGTTGCATCAATGCATTACGTTTCTAGAGTGGCGAGTAATGCAGATATTGAAAGTAGATTTTCGAAACTATTCTTCTAAATGAAAAATCCAAAATTAATGTTTTTCGATTAGCAATCAGTACTCTGAGCAAGCGTGCTTTGATATTTCCATCCTAAAAATATTTCTTTGAAAATCGGTACGTATCAAAGACGGTCTTATTACTTTTTATTATACCCATTGTTGAATTGTTTTGACAAAATTAGAATATGTTCAATATTCTGATGTATAGAAACGATCGATTACTTTGGTGGTTAAGAGTAGTTTGGTTAAATAATTTCACTCTATGTTATGCATGACTAGGTAAAACATGTTTTTTTTCTGTCGCTCCTAAAAACGATAAGCACTTATCTTTCTTAGCGATATACAGTTTAAACTTATCTCATCTTGTCAATGTAAAATGAACGGTGTCCATAGGAAAACAAGAAGAAAAAAGAAAACGAAAAACATTATCTTATGACACGTTCTTATGTGACGTATAGTTTTGTTGTTATCCTATGTCTACTGGTAATTAGTCTTGTTTTGTATATTTCACTCCTACTTCTGAATAATAATCGTTCTCAATTCTTCAAACATGCAATATCAAAAAATAAAGCCATTTGGTGGTCATTGAATAAAAAGTTTATAATTAAATTTCAAGATTTTGATAAAGAATTTGTCCAACAACAACAACAATCACTTGAAAGTGCAAATATTGTTGAGCGTTTTCTATACAACAATCCACCGAATACAAAGAATCCAATATGTTCACGCACAAATCGAGCACAAGGCATAAATTTATTAATGATTTTGGTTTTATCACGTGCACTCAATTTTGATTATCGAATGGCTATTCGTTCAACATGGGGTAGAAATATTCAACGTAATGGATTACAAATTCAAACAGTATTTTTTGTTGGAACAGATGATTCAAGCCAATATGCCATTCGAAATGAACAAGTGATGTTCAATGATGTAGTAGAAGTAGGTATGTACATTCAAAATATATTGTTCACTATATACATCTTCATTTTCTTTTCAAGGTATTCCAGAAAATTATCCATTTGTCTCTCATAAAGAATTGGCTACACTTCAATGGACACGTTTATTTTGTCCATGGACAGAGTTTATATTTCGTGCTGATGATGATATTTTATTGGACACATTTCTACTAACCAAGTATATAAAACATCATCTTTATAACATCAGCGAAGAGAATGACGGTATTTATGGATGGTTTCGTTTTAATAACTCTGTACATCGTATGGATAAATGGGCTGTAACCAGGCAAGAATATCCATCGAAAATTTATCCACCATACACATTTGGCATTGGATATTTGATGACAAATAAAACATGTTTAGAACTGGTTAATGCTGCTAAAGCTCCACATCATGCAGTAATACGAATTGGCGATGTTTATATTACGGGTATTCTACGTGAATTAGCTAATGTTAAATATTTCGATTTTATTGGCTTAGATTATTCTTATACGTTCTATGACGTATTGCCATGTGATGACCTTTTTATGGATAATCCAAAATTATTAATATGTATGTCAAAATTGCATGTAGGTATTAAAGGAGATCCAGATGAATTTTTTGATGTATGGGATGTTATTTTGACAAGACAAAGCGAAAGAAACAAAATAACATCGAAGCATTAGACTATACTCGCCTTATCTGATTATGATTCTTTACACTTACGAGGGAACCTCTCGAGGTGATAAAACGCTTTTTGCTCGGAATCTAGTGGGTTATAGGTTATCGACCATGCTGATTATGAATATGACCATAGGCGTGGCTCTTAGTCCTCCAAAGATCCGGTTTCATAGAAAAGCAGTTTTTCAGAAACTCTAAAATATAACTAGAACCTCTCTTAATGAGGTATAATTGTAGCCCGCAAATTTCTGATTAAAATGAGACATCTCACGACCTTTCTTTGCAAACTTATAAAATTTACAAGAAAAGCTCTAAATTAATTTTTTCCTTCTTATTTCTTTAGCTTTGAACTGACAATGAACACTTAGGGCTTTTCATGTAAATTCTATAACTTTGAAAGAAAGGTCCTGTAGAGCTCGGATATGTCTCATTTTAATCGGAAATTTGCGGGTTATGATCATGTCTCATTAAAAAGGTTCTGGTGATATCTTAGAATTTCTGAAAAACTGCTTTTCAAGAAAAACGGATCTTTGAAGAACTAAGAGCCACCCCCCATGGTCATATTCGTAATCAGTATGGTCGATAACCTATAATCCACTAGATTCCGAGCAAAAAAGCGTTTTATCGCCTCGAGAGGTTCCCTCGTTAGTCATGGTTGCTGAATAATAGCGTCGGTCAAAGATAAAGCATCAACATCAAAATAGAAGTTGGATACATAAAATAAACAAAAATGTAATCATTACAACATTCCATCTTGATCAACATATAGGTGTGTATACAAGAAAAAAAAGGAGAAATAAAAAAAATAAATTGATTTTCTAGTAACTGTATAATAGTTGAATTTAGATTGATAAAGACCATACTGAAGACATATATTATAACAAACAAACGATTCAGTATTGCGATAGTTCTAACAGTATTTCAATAAAAATATAACATGTTATAATCACTAGTACGCATTAAAAATAATACATAATGGTGAATGACGGAAACCTATGTTTACTTTGCTAAAACAAAACTGTCGTAATGCATAATATAAATAAAGTATTTTCATATAATAGTTAACTCATTTATAGTCGAAATGTAATTTTCTCCGAAACTAATATTAGTTTTTCGGTGAAATTTTTTTCTGAAGACATCTCACTTAGCACTTGAAATTTCTCAAATGAAACCTTCAGGAAATATAGACGCGAAAAGTTTCTTAGAAAAACGAGTATGGATTAGTGAGATTCTAAAGTAAGTACCGGAAAACTTCAACCCTTTGACACCCAGTGGGAAGCATACTTCCCACCTCG